ATTTACCCTAAACCACAAAATCCACGGAAATTAATCCGAAGCATATTCAAAATGACTCCAAACCCTCTTTTCATAAACCTGAATAAAGTTTGAGCTACCCAAAATTATTTTTATTGTAATTCTTTGTATTTATTGTATACACATGCAAAAGTAAATTAATACAATGAAAATTACTATATTCTTTATGGTCATTTAAAAAAGTACAAGATGTAAATAATACTGTACAAGACGCAAATTGGCAACCATCCTAATGGTCCTTGTCAACGGGAGCGGAGTTCATGAACCGCACATCAGACACTCGTCACGGTTCTCCAGTGAACACACCATAGCAGCTATGTTGCGTTCTTTGGTTTCCTCCTCGTTGCTTGTACTTTTCTGCGTCTCCTTCAGTTTTTCTTTGTTGAGAGTGAACTGGATGGGGTTGGCAGCTGGTTTAGTTCGCAGGTAGTACATTCCTGTTTTAAGACCCTGTGGGGAGCAGCAGATGTATGTTTATCTATCGACTTATTGCATTTCTAGACTTCCAAATCCAGGCTCAGAAATTATCTAGCTTACCAGCTTCCAGCCATAGAAGTGCATGCTGGTCAGTTTGCCATAGTTGGGTTCAGCGATGTGGATGTTGAGGGACTGGCTCTGGTCAATGAAGGCTCCTCTGTCTGCAGCCATCTTTAAGATGGTCTTTTGAGAGATCTCCCACACCGTCTTATACAGCTCCTTCAGGTCATCTGGTATTGTGGGAATGCCCTGCAAAAAGAAGGACGTTTAGAAAGGGACAAAAGCAAAAACGTCTTCCAAATTGGAAGTGGCATCTAACCTGGATGGATCCGTTCTGAGCAATTAGCTGGTTTTTCATTTCTTCATTCCAAAGTCCTCGTTCCGTGAGGTCTTTGAGAAGATGTGGGTTCACAATCTAGAGGTAAATGTAACCCAGTTAATTTTGTACAAAGACATCAGTTTATCTGTTCTTGCAAACGTTCACTGTAATGTCAGGCTCACCTGAAACTCTCCAGACAGAACTCTGCGTGTGTAGATGTTGCTAGTGTATGGCTCGATTGACTCGTTGTTTCCCAGGATCTGAGCAGTGGAGGCAGTGGGCATAGGAGCCAGCAGCAGACTGTTAAGCACTCCATGCCTGGGGAGCAACAATAATATATATTATGTGACCTATGTAACTATGGAAACTTTTTTTTATAAATTACAGCATTTATAAAAATGTACTATGTGAACACTACAAAAATCATAATATTTTT